TTGAAATCGGACATCAAAAACAGCAGCTTACCACTGAAACGTTTACCTATCGATTGCCTGTCCTTGATATACCACTATAGCGGTACATAGCCGAATGCCGATCCCAATCGATAATGGGTCCATCGACATAATAGATTATGTCCAGTCAACAACAATTGATTTGCCAGCTGAAACCTACAGTCGCTCAATAACTTAAGAAAACACACGAATAGACGAACTCAATTTAGTTTTGACAGCTTGATTTGATTATTCAGCTACTCAAAGACCAGAGACTGAAGCAAGCTCTCCAAGCCATCCATCGCGTGTTGAATTGCTTTCATTGAGCTCGCATAAGAAATGCGCATGCCAAACTCGTCACCACATTCCGAGCCAGGCACTACTGCAATGAGCAGGTGCTCACAGAAATCATCAACGCCCGCAAGCGGCATGCTCTTGTCCGCCGTGAACACCTTTTTTCCTTGAAAGTAAATTGACAAGTCCAAGAACACATAGAACGCAGACGTTGGGTACGCAAATCGCACGTTTGGCATAGCGGTCAGTCTCTTGACGATATAGCGGCGCTTCGTGTCCAGATTTTTCATCACATCTGTAATGCGGCGCTTGTCCTTCTCCATGCACTCCAACTCGTACGTCAGTGCCTCGATAGCAGCCACTTGGCCCACGGTATTCGTGCATGACGTCAATTGTGCCTGGAGAAGTGTGCACGGATCGATATAATGCTTGGGTGCTGCGAGGCAGCCGACACGCATACCAGTCATTGGCATTTCAGTGTGAACGTCATGAAATAACACGTATCGCTTGCAGCCCTATCCACTTCTCGAAAAGATACTACCGTATCGTACCTAAAGGTGTTTGCGCTCCTTTGGTTCTATAGGATTCCGACCACGCGATTCAGGCCTTTACCACTTATTGTGACGCCACTCATCAAGTCATTGAAATCGGACATCAAAAACAGCAGCTTACCACTGAAACGTTTACCTATCGATTGCCTGTCCTTGATATACCACTATAGCGGTACATAGCCGAATGCCGATCCCAATCGATAATGGGTCCATCGACATAATAGATTATGTCCAGTCAACAACAATTGATTTGCCAGCTGAAACGTACAGTCGCTCAATAACTTAAGAAAACACACGAATAGACGAACTCAATTTAGTTTTGACAGCTTGATTTGATTATTCAGCTACTCAAAGACCAGAGACTGAAGCAAGCTCTCCAAGCCATCCATCGCGTGTTGAATTGCTTTCATTGAGCTCGCATAAGAAATGCGCATGCCAAACTCGTCACCACATTCCGAGCCAGGCACTACTGCAATGAGCAGGTGCTCACAGAAATCATCAACGCCCGCAAGCGGCATGCTCTTGTCCGCCGTGAACACCTTTTTTCCTTGAAAGTAAATTGACAAGTCCAAGAACACATAGAACGCAGACGTTGGATACGCAAATCGCACGTTTGGCATAGCGGTCAGTCTCTTGACGATATAGCGGCGCTTCGTGTCCAGATTTTTCATCACATCTGTAATGCGGCGCTTGTCCTTCTCCATGCACTCCAACTCGTACGTCAGTGCCTCGATAGCAGCCACTTGGCCCACGGTATTCGTGCATGACGTCAATTGTGCCTGGAGAAGTGTGCACGGATCGATATAATGCTTGGGTGCTGCGAGGCAGCCGACACGCATACCAGTCATTGGCATTTCAGTGTGAACGTCATGAAATAACACGTATCGCTTGCAGCCCTATCCACTTCTCGAAAAGATACTACCGTATCGTACCTAAAGGTGTTTGCGCTCCTTTGGTTCTATAGGATTCCGACCACGCGATTCAGGCCTTTACCACTTATTGTGACGCCACTCATCAAGTCATTGAAATCGGACATCAAAAACAGCAGCTTACCACTGAAACGTTTACCTATCGATTGCCTGTCCTTGATATACCACTATAGCGGTACATAGCCGAATGCCGATCCCAATCGATAATGGGTCCATCGACATAATAGATTATGTCCAGTCAACAACAATTGATTTGCCAGCTGAAACGTACAGTCGCTCAATAACTTAAGAAAACACACGAATAGACGAACTCAATTTAGTTTTGACAGCTTGATTTGATTATTCAGCTACTCAAAGACCAGAGACTGAAGCAAGCTCTCCAAGCCATCCATCGCGTGTTGAATTGCTTTCATTGAGCTCGCATAAGAAATGCGCATGCCAAACTCGTCACCACATTCCGAGCCAGGCACTACTGCAATGAGCAGGTGCTCACAGAAATCATCAACGCCCGCAAGCGGCATGCTCTTGTCCGCCGTGAACACCTTTTTTCCTTGAAAGTAAATTGACAAGTCCAAGAACACATAGAACGCAGACGTTGGGTACGCAAATCGCACGTTTGGCATAGCGGTCAGTCTCTTGACGATATAGCGGCGCTTCGTGTCCAGATTTTTCATCACATCTGTAATGCGGCGCTTGTCCTTCTCCATGCACTCCAACTCGTACGTCAGTGCCTCGATAGCAGCCACTTGGCCCACGGTATTCGTGCATGACGTCAATTGTGCCTGGAGAAGTGTGCACGGATCGATATAATGCTTGGGTGCTGCGAGGCAGCCGACACGCATACCAGTCATTGGCATTTCAGTGTGAACGTCATGAAATAACACGTATCGCTTGCAGCCCTATCCACTTCTCGAAAAGATACTACCGTATCGTACCTAAAGGTGTTTGCGCTCCTTTGGTTCTATAGGATTCCGACCACGCGATTCAGGCCTTTACCACTTATTGTGACGCCACTCATCAAGTCATTGAAATCGGACATCAAAAACAGCAGCTTACCACTGAAACGTTTACCTATCGATTGCCTGTCCTTGATATACCACTATAGCGGTACATAGCCGAATGCCGATCCCAATCGATAATGGGTCCATCGACATAATAGATTATGTCCAGTCAACAACAATTGATTTGCCAGCTGAAACGTACAGTCGCTCAATAACTTAAGAAAACACACGAATAGACGAACTCAATTTAGTTTTGACAGCTTGATTTGATTATTCAGCTACTCAAAGACCAGAGACTGAAGCAAGCTCTCCAAGCCATCCATCGCGTGTTGAATTGCTTTCATTGAGCTCGCATAAGAAATGCGCATGCCAAACTCGTCACCACATTCCGAGCCAGGCACTACTGCAATGAGCAGGTGCTCACAGAAATCATCAACGCCCGCAAGCGGCATGCTCTTGTCCGCCGTGAACACCTTTTTTCCTTGAAAGTAAATTGACAAGTCCAAGAACACATAGAACGCAGACGTTGGGTACGCAAATCGCACGTTTGGCATAGCGGTCAGTCTCTTGACGATATAGCGGCGCTTCGTGTCCAGATTTTTCATCACATCTGTAATGCGGCGCTTGTCCTTCTCCATGCACTCCAACTCGTACGTCAGTGCCTCGATAGCAGCCACTTGGCCCACGGTATTCGTGCATGACGTCAATTGTGCCTGGAGAAGTGTGCACGGATCGATATAATGCTTGGGTGCTGCGAGGCAGCCGACACGCATACCAGTCATTGGCATTTCAGTGTGAACGTCATGAAATAACACGTATCGCTTGCAGCCCTATCCACTTCTCGAAAAGATACTACCGTATCGTACCTAAAGGTGTTTGCGCTCCTTTGGTTCTATAGGATTCCGACCACGCGATTCAGGCCTTTACCACTCATTGTGACGCCACTCATCAAGTCATTGAAATCGGACATCAAAAACAGCAGCTTACCACTGAAACGTTTACCTATCGATTGCCTGTCCTTGATATACCACTATAGCGGTACATAGCCGAATGCCGATCCCAATCGATAATGGGTCCATCGACATAATAGATTATGTCCAGTCAACAACAATTGATTTGCCAGCTGAAACCTACAGTCGCTCAATAACTTAAGAAAACACACGAATAGACGAACTCAATTTAGTTTTGACAGCTTGATTTGATTATTCAGCTACTCAAAGACCAGAGACTGAAGCAAGCTCTCCAAGCCATCCATCGCGTGTTGAATTGCTTTCATTGAGCTCGCATAAGAAATGCGCATGCCAAACTCGTCACCACATTCCGAGCCAGGCACTACTGCAATGAGCAGGTGCTCACAGAAATCATCAACGCCCGCAAGCGGCATGCTCTTGTCCGCCGTGAACACCTTTTTTCCTTGAAAGTAAATTGACAAGTCCAAGAACACATAGAACGCAGACGTTGGATACGCAAATCGCACGTTTGGCATAGCGGTCAGTCTCTTGACGATATAGCGGCGCTTCGTGTCCAGATTTTTCATCACATCTGTAATGCGGCGCTTGTCCTTCTCCATGCACTCCAACTCGTACGTCAGTGCCTCGATAGCAGCCACTTGGCCCACGGTATTCGTGCATGACGTCAATTGTGCCTGGAGAAGTGTGCACGGATCGATATAATGCTTGGGTGCTGCGAGGCAGCCGACACGCATACCAGTCATTGGCATTTCAGTGTGAACGTCATGAAATAACACGTATCGCTTGCAGCCCTATCCACTTCTCGAAAAGATACTACCGTATCGTACCTAAAGGTGTTTGCGCTCCTTTGGTTCTATAGGATTCCGACCACGCGATTCAGGCCTTTACCACTCCACTATTTGTGACGCCACTCATCAAGTCATTGAAATCGGACATCAAAAACAGCAGCTTACCACTGAAACGTTTACCTATCGATTGCCTGTCCTTGCTGATATCCCACTATAGCGGTACATAGCCGAATGCCGATCCCAATCGATAATGGGTCCATCGACATAATAGATTATGTCCAGTCAACAACAATTGATTTGCCAGCTGAAACCTACAGTCGCTCAATAACTTAAGAAAACACACGAATAGACGAACTCAATTTAGTTTTGACAGCTTGATTTGATTATTCAGCTACTCAAAGAAACCAGAGACTGAAGCAAGCTCTCCAAGCCATCCATCGCGTGTTGAATTGCTTTCATGAGCTCGCATTTAAGAATGCGCAAAAATGCGCATGCCAAACTCGTCACCACATTCCGAGCCAGGCACTACTGCAATGAGCAGGTGCTCACAGAAATCATCAACGCCCGCCAAGCGGCATGCTCTTGTCCGCCGTGAACACCTTTTTTCCTTGAAAGTAAATTGACAAGTCCAAGAACACATAGAACGCAGTACGTTGGATACGCAAATCGCACGTTTGGCATAGCGGTCAGTCTCTTGACGATATAGCGGCGCTTCGTGTCCAGATTTTTCATCACATCTGTAATGCGGCGCTTGTCCTTCTCCATGCACTCCAACTCGTACGTCAGTGCCTCGATAGCAGCCACTTGGCCCACGGTATTCGTGCATGACGTCAATTGTGCCTGGAGAAGTGTGCACGGATCGATATAATGCTTGGGTGCTGCGAGGCAGCCGACACGCATACCAGTGCATTCGGCATTTCAGTGTGAACGTCATGAAATAACACGTATCGCTTAATGCAGCCCTATCCACTCCTCTAAAAAGATACTACCGTATCGTACCTAAAGGTGTTTGCGCGCCCTTTGGTTCTATAGGATTCCGACCACGCGATTCAGGCCTTTACCACTCATTGTGACGCCACTCATCAAGTCATTGAAATCGGACATCAAAAACAGCAGCTTACCACTGAAACGTTTACCTATCGATTGCCTGTCCTTGATATAGCACTATAGCGGTACATAGCCGAATGCCGATCCCAATCGATAATGGGTCCATCGACATAATAGATTATGTCCAGTCAACAACAATTGATTTGCCAGCTGAAACCTACAGTCGCTCAATAACTTAAGAAAACACACGAATAGACGAACTCAATTTAGTTTTGACAGCTTGATTTGATTATTCAGCTACTCAAAGACCAGAGACTGAAGCAAGCTCTCCAAGCCATCCATCGCGTGTTGAATTGCTTTCATTGAGCTCGCATAAGAAATGCGCATGCCAAACTCGTCACCACATTCCGAGCCAGGCACTACTGCAATGAGCAGGTGCTCACAGAAATCATCAACGCCCGCAAGCGGCATGCTCTTGTCCGCCGTGAACACCTTTTTTCCTTGAAAGTAAATTGACAAGTCCAAGAACACATAGAACGCAGACGTTGGGTACGCAAATCGCACGTTTGGCATAGCGGTCAGTCTCTTGACGATATAGCGGCGCTTCGTGTCCAGATTTTTCATCACATCTGTAATGCGGCGCTTGTCCTTCTCCATGCACTCCAACTCGTACGTCAGTGCCTCGATAGCAGCCACTTGGCCCACGGTATTCGTGCATGACGTCAATTGTGCCTGGAGAAGTGTGCACGGATCGATATAATGCTTGGGTGCTGCGAGGCAGCCGACACGCATACCAGTCATTGGCATTTCAGTGTGAACGTCATGAAATAACACGTATCGCTTGCAGCCCTATCCACTTCTCGAAAAGATACTACCGTATCGTACCTAAAGGTGTTTGCGCTCCTTTGGTTCTATAGGATTCCGACCACGCGATTCAGGCCTTTACCACTTATTGTGACGCCACTCATCAAGTCATTGAAATCGGACATCAAAAACAGCAGCTTACCACTGAAACGTTTACCTATCGATTGCCTGTCCTTGATATACCACTATAGCGGTACATAGCCGAATGCCGATCCCAATCGATAATGGGTCCATCGACATAATAGATTATGTCCAGTCAACAACAATTGATTTGCCAGCTGAAACCTACAGTCGCTCAATAACTTAAGAAAACACACGAATAGACGAACTCAATTTAGTTTTGACAGCTTGATTTGATTATTCAGCTACTCAAAGACCAGAGATTGAAGCAAGCTCTCCAAGCCATCCATCGCGTGTTGGATTGCTTTCATTGAGCTCGCATAAGAAATGCGCATGCCAAACTCGTCACCACATTCCGAGCCAGGCACTACTGCAATGGAACAGAGCAGGTGCTCACAGAAATCATCAACGCCCGCAAGCGACATGCTCTTGTCCGCCGTGAACACCTTTTTTCCTTGAAAGTAAATTGACAAGTCCAAGAACACATAGAACGCAGACGTTGGGTACGCAAATCGCACGTTTGGCATAGCGGTCAGTCTCTTGACGATATAGCGGCGCTTCGTGTCCAGATTTTTCATCACATCTGTAATGCGGCGCTTGTCCTTCTCCATGCACTCCAACTCGTACGTCAGTGCCTCGATAGCAGCCACTTGGCCCACGGTATTCGTGCATGACGTCAATTGTGCCTGGAGAAGTGTGCACGGATCGATATAATGCTTGGGTGCTGCGAGGCAGCCGACACGCATACCAGTCATTGGCATTTCAGTGTGAACGTCATGAAATAACACGTATCGCTTGCAGCCCTATCCACTTCTCGAAAAGATACTACCGTATCGTACCTAAAGGTGTTTGCGCTCCTTTGGTTCTATAGGATTCCGACCACGCGATTCAGGCCTTTACCACTTATTGTGACGCCACTCATCAAGTCATTGAAATCGGACATCAAAAACAGCAGCTTACCACTGAAACGTTTACCTATCGATTGCCTGTCCTTGATATACCACTATAGCGGTACATAGCCGAATGCCGATCCCAATCGATAATGGGTCCATCGACATAATAGATTATGTCCAGTCAACAACAATTGATTTGCCAGCTGAAACCTACAGTCGCTCAATAACTTAAGAAAACACACGAATAGACGAACTCAATTTAGTTTTGACAGCTTGATTTGATTATTCAGCTACTCAAAGACCAGAGACTGAAGCAAGCTCTCCAAGCCATCCATCGCGTGTTGAATTGCTTTCATTGAGCTCGCATAAGAAATGCGCATGCCAAACTCGTCACCACATTCCGAGCCAGGCACTACTGCAATGGCAAATCATGCAGCAGGTGCTCACAGAAATCATCAACGCCCGCAAGCGGCATGCTCTTGTCCGCCGTGAACACCTTTTTTCCTTGAAAGTAAATTGACAAGTCCAAGAACACATAGAACGCAGACGTTGGGTACGCAAATCGCACGTTTGGCATAGCGGTCAGTCTCTTGACGATATAGCGGCGCTTCGTGTCCAGATTTTTCATCACATCTGTAATGCGGCGCTTGTCCTTCTCCATGCACTCCAACTCGTACGTCAGTGCCTCGATAGCAGCCACTTGGCCCACGGTATTCGTGCATGACGTCAATTGTGCCTGGAGAAGTGTGCACGGATCGATATAATGCTTGGGTGCTGCGAGGCAGCCGACACGCATACCAGTCATTGGCATTTCAGTGTGAACGTCATGAAATAACACGTATCGCTTGCAGCCCTATCCACTTCTCGAAAAGATACTACCGTATCGTACCTAAAAGGTGTTTGCGCTCCTTTGGTTCTATAGGATTCCGACCACGCGATTCAGGCCTTTACCACTTATTGTGACGCCACTCATCAAGTCATTGAAATCGGACATCAAAAACAGCAGCTTACCACTGAAACGTTTACCTATCGATTGCCTGTCCTTGATATACCACTATAGCGGTACATAGCCGAATGCGATCCCAATCGATAATGGGTCCATCGACATAATAGATTATGTCAGTCAACAATTGATTTGCCAGCTGAAACCTACAGTCGCTCAATAACTTAAGAAAACACACGAATAGACGAACTCAATTTAGTTTTGACAGCTTGATTTAATTATTCAGCTACTCAAAAACCAAAAACTAAAAAAAACCCCCCCACCCCCCCCCCCCTTTTTTTTTTTTTTTTTTTTTTTCTCCCAAAAAAAAAACCCCCCCCACCCCCCCCCCCACCCCACCCCACCCCCCCCCCCCCCACACAAAAACCACACCACAACCCCACCAACACCCCCCCCCCCCCCCCACCCCCCCCCCCCCCCCCCCCCCCCCCCCCCCTTTTCCTTTAATAAAAAAAAAAAAAAAAACAAAAAAAAAAAAAAAAAACACCCCACCCCAACCACCCCCCCCCTTTTCCTTTCCTTCTTCCCTCCCCTTCTTCCTCCCTTCTCTCCTTTTCTTTTTTTCTTCCTTTCTTCTTCCCCCCCTCCCCCCCCCCCCCCCCCCCCCCCCCTCTCTCTTTTCCCCTCCCTCCCCCCCCCCCCCTTTTTTTCTCCCCCCCCTCTTTTCCCTTGGGATGTTTTCACGCATCTTTTTTTTTTGGGTGCTGCGGGGTAGCCCACACGCATACCAGTCATGGCATGCGCTTTTGAGAATCCATTTACCAACAGTGTTCGCTCGTACATGCCAGGTAGAGTTGCAAAGCTCACGTGCTTGCGTTCAGGAATACCCTCATCTTGGTACAATAACTGCTCGTAGATCTCGTCCGATATCACGACGATGTGACGGAACTGCGGCTTGCGCAACACAACCGCGATCCTCTCCAGATGCTCGGGACTATGCAATGTGCCAGCCGGGTTGCTCGGGTTGCATAGGATAATGACTTTGGCATCCGGGTGCACAGCCAGCTTCTTCTCTAGCTCCGTTGGGTTGATCAAGTAGTTCTCTTCAAGCGTTGTACGCAGTGGAATAGGTTCCGCGTACACAAGCTTGACGATCTCAGGGTAGTTGAGCCAGTACGGTGTTGGAATGATCACCTTCTGACCGGGGCGGCACACTGTGTACAGGGCCTGGTACACTGACTGTTGTGCACCGTTCGACACCAACACCTCCGTAGCTGGGTCATACCTGAGACCCTTGGCCTTTTCGAGGTACGTCGAAATGAGGCCGCGCAGCTCAACCATTCCTTTCATATGCGCGTACTTGATGTTACCTTTGATAATGGCATTCGCACCTGCAGCCAACACGCGCTCATGTGGGTTGTAGTCAGGCTCCCCTACGCAAAGGGACCAAACCTGCTTGCCTTCAGCCTCCATTTGCTTGGTTAAGCCGTGGATCAGTACAGTTTTGGCAACCGTTACTTTCTGGAATATCGGGTTCAGCGGGTATTTGTCGGCCATTGTGATGCTTTTGACGGTTTCGTGGTGTCCGGTGTTGAAGGACAGCTCCACCGCTGTTATGACCTCCTCGTTCTCCAACGTCGAGTAGGACCCCAGGACGCGCAGAAATGCGCAGATTTCGCTGAGCTGTCGTATGGCTGCAGCCATATTCACGTTTGTCAGGCGACCGCGCACGTCCATGTAAAACAGATACTTGTATCTGCAAGAGCTCAACGTCTTTTTGCCGTGCTGCTGCGGTATCTGTCCGTCCCACGGCCGACTCTCAATCTTGATGAGATCCAACTCTCGCTGCGAGAAGACAGAGAGCGCGCGATTGAGCATACCTTTGGCAGATCTGTCATCAAAACCAAACACCAGGGATGAGAAAGGTATGCAGATCTGTCATCAAAACCAAACACTAGGGATGTCTTGAAGTCCATGTCGTCGGTTTTCACGCCCAACACCAGATTCAATCGCTTGGACAACAATAGGAACCTCGTGTAAGAAGTGGAGTCGGTACTTTTTACTGGACTAGTGATCTCCTGCAGATCGTATTCACCCATTATATACAGGTCGTACTTGAGCAGTAGATCGTAATTGGCATGAATACTACCAAGCGTAGATGTCTCGATAGGCAGCACTGCAAAGTCTACTTCCTCGTTCTTAACGGCGTTGCAAGCATCCTCAACGCGTTTGTAGGCCACCGTCAAGGCCGAGTTGTTCGCGAAGTGGCGAGCGGCTTGTTCAGCATGACCGCCTTCGTACGCAACTTTGAGCTCTAATTGCATGGCTTTAAGTTGATTTGTGTTTGAGTGTAGGAGCGTCAAGTTGAAGAGAAGACACCTGCTCGAGAATGGACCAATTTGGGAATGAGCACAAGAAGCCAGGATTGTGACTTTCATTGTACCCGCGTCACCTGCACAACTTGCTTCCGTTTCAGTCACAACCGTGCTGCAAGCATCTTCGGATGGGAGGACGTCGCAGGTACGAGCTCCCGTCAGGTTGTAGTAATGCTAGTCTACACACATCATCTCGGTGATCGCTCAACAACTGCCATTTGATGATTTCGAAAATTTCAGTTTACGACGGCACAACGGCAACTGATACAGACATAAAATCAGTGGTTGCATTACAAACGCTGTCTATTCCTATCTAGAGGTATCACTCCAGAGTCAACTGTAACCGCGTTAAGATAGGTGGAATATCATAACTGTGAAACAAACGTGATGCCAAATATAGAATAGATGAGCGCTTTTCTTCAATCAAACCGGCTACAAAAGGATTAAATATACGACATTCCAGCAATACATTCAGCATTAGTATCTTGAATATATTTTTGAAATATCAAAAAGACACGCTTCGATATAGACATGCATTAAGTGTGACGTGCTTTGTGACTGCAAGGTTAAGTTTGAAATGTGTCATGCAACTTACATGGAGCGAAAAGAAAGCTATTAGCCACAAATGGTGCGAGGAAGAATTGCCGAGGCTAATGCAAATGCTTGACTAATTCCCTCCGCGCAGAACATTGCTAGAATCGTGTTTAATCGAATGCGTATGACACATGATGGCCTTGCTTAAAATGCAAGATGTGGTGGATGTCTGAAAGTGTCGCTACGCATGAGTTTATACGTATAAAACTTATGTTACAAATTGGCATAGCAACGCATCTTGTGAAAAATGATTATCAACACTGGTTGTGTCGACTTTGACATCTTTTTGCGTTGCAACATGATGCATTCTGTCTTTGTCGCGTGACAACAATAGAAATCGATATCAGAGGCTAGAATGAGTGTTAAATCGTGCTTATTAATATAGCTAGCACCACCATTCTAGTTTTCACGAGCGTTACTGCATTATAATGGTAAGCTGGCCCAAGCTGTCACTACAACTCTCAACGAGATGAATTGTATAACATATTTATATAGAAACCAATACGAGAGAGGAACATCAAGAGAAGAAAATGTGAATCATTATTGTACTCTTTCCTTCACGTCTCTTACCAAAAATTTGAAAAACGCGTTTTGTTTTAGTCTACCAGTTTATTCGGGAAACGTTACCATCGCGCCGCAGTCCATGATGCCACTATTATCAGCCTGTGCAGTCGTCGTCATTAGTGGACCAGTGCGATATTGGCACACTGGTCGAAGCTACAAATATTCTCATCAGTACAATCAACTCTTGAAGCTACGCCTCGACGTCCTGCTGCAGCTGTATCCTTTTTTTTCTCGATTGCAGTTTGTGTGCTGCAATATTTATAGCATCAATGTATTGTTTTTGTTGTGTGAAATAGTATATCTTGCGCGCATCCTGGAGCTGATTTTCGAATTTATGTGGAGCAAAGCAGACGTTGATAATGCCTTGATGTGGCTATGAGCTCGTCAACAGTGGCACTTGCGTATAGCTTAAGAACAGCGCTGGCCACCACTCAATAAGATCACGTATTCAAACGCTAGAGCTCCCTTTTTTGCACTGCAACCAAGACTAAATACGTCCCGCGGTGGCAACTGTCATTCATGATTGGTCTTTTCTGTACGAAGATACTTTTGTTTCTTAAAATCAATTGTAACAACTATTTGTACAAAAAAACAGAAAAGAGCTGAGCATACAAAACAATTAATTTTTGAAATTGAGGGTTTATCAATTAAATAATGATAACCCAAAAATACAAAATGGCTACTTATTAAAAAATCATAAAATATACTTAGCACAACGTAAACCAAAACAAGGTATAAATATTTCATAAATGATGTAAAAGAATAAAAGACCTTCGTATACGGTGGCTTGGGTTTCTCGCCAACTAGTGAGATTTCTACTCGTACTAAGCAATCTAGATGCATAATAATGGGCCCAAATCTTCCGTGCCTTCAATTCTATTGCACTTCTGCTGCTTCTACTTTTTCGCAATTACAATAGCGTGTCTTTGTAACTTATGAATGCGCGCAAAAATATTGAAGTAAGATGTAACCAGGCTAGTATCGTTACACAACACACTAACACACATAAGAGGAAGCTTCAAAACTAAACGTATTGTTTTCGTACAGCTCATACGCGATAAAATTGACGTTGTTAATTTATTGTCAAACGGATGCCATGGTTCCTTCCTCTAGTACTTAAGATGCATTTATCCGACCTGAAACGGTGATTCCTCAGGACTTACTGAAGGAAACTACTCAAGCTAGAAACTGCAAATTCTAGCAGATTATTTTACATGTGCGAATACTGAAGACCTAAAGTTTAGAGACATTGAGTGCTTCGTGATATTGTGTCTAATTGCATATGTCACACGTAAAATTACGACGACCGAGGTGATTGGTGCTTTGTAATGCGTTGCTATACAGATTAACATTTACACCGTATTGAAAGGGGTGGTGTTATAGCCACTATTACATGTATTATCCAGCTTTCCTTCGTGCAGTAACAGGCTTACATGGCTACAAGTAAGCAGCAGATAATAGTAAGAAATCAGCTCACGTGTTTACATATGTGACCAAAAGCTTTGTTAAAGGCATATTAATCGAGGGTCTTTGACCATTACCTTTTTTATAGAAATGATAAATTACACTAGATTGTCTGAATCTAAGTCTTCCTCTATTGCTAAGCACCTGCGCTTTGTAACGAGGTGTGTATTGTACATACACACCTGCCACACAAATGTGGTGTGGCTGTACCTTGGGTACAAAAGTAGGTGATGTGACCGTACCTGAAGTACGAAGAGTCGCATCGGGCAGAGTCACGTGGTCACTATACTTATTTAAAGTATAGTGACTATGCATATTTGCATAATAATAACAGGCTATAGAGCCAGCAAATAGTGACTAGCACTAAGTATAGAGTAGGTGCTTCTATGTTTAGTGTTAGAAGATAAACATAAATATAAATCAGTTTCAAACGTGCTCTGTAAGCGTTACAACTTGAGCATACTATTCCTTCTGAGGAATTTGTATCTGTGATACTAGCCTCTTTGAGACGCGGTTACAACAACCGATAGGCACAAGCTTACGAGCTAGCCTAGGAGGGTTAAGCACCCTAAGACGTAGAAGCTCTCTGAGCTTGTCTTCCTCTGCACATAGTGCATACGTAGCTTTGCTACAGTAGTCTGACTACTTCTTCTGCACATAGTGCATCGGCACATAGTGCATAAGTAGCGTAGCTACAGTAGCTCGGCTACGCCTGGTAGCACTTGTAGTCAATTTCGCACCTGGGTTTGCGACTACTTCGCTGTGTGAGAATGGTGTCATCGGTTGGCCTGTCACAGGCACAACAGGAAGGGTTGCAGAAGCTGCTTCCCACCCTTGGCCCTAAGGGCGTAGAGTACCTCATCGCCCAGGATGAAGAAGAGGTTAACAAGCGTATCAGTATGCTTGATGAGTATAATAAAGCTATAGTAGAGCATGTAAAGGCACAGATGCCTTCTTCTGCGCCTTTGCATATGGCAACTATGGCGCAAGAAGTGGTCTGCAGACCAAAACCCATACAAATGGAAGTCGATAAGTTTGCGGCAAAGAAGGTGATGACGTTATGCTTTGATTCCGACAGATTGAGTCGGTTATGTTATAGACAACATCACCTATGAACTGTACCGTGTTGGATTTGCCACGGGCAAGTTAGGTGGATATAGCCAAAAAGTGGGCATTCATATGTGATGCATCACTGCAAGATGATTTCCCCACATGGGCCGATCTGAAAGTTTAGATGACCCGGCAGTATGCACCGCCAACCATGCACACCGTAATCGGTCGCGATTTTTGACATGTCACCAAGGCAAGCGTGAGCTTGCGGCATATGTACAAGAATTGAGAACTCTCATTGCTGTCATGGTCATAGAACCTATGCCTGATGCAGCGACAGTCACGGTCTTCATGGAAGGCCTCCGAGTTGGTGTTGTCAGAACGGAAGTCTTCCGGTAAATCCATCCTCATTCGAGAAGCTGTTGGAGTGGCATGGAATGCCGATACCAACTTTAAGTCCGCTAGACCTGCCACTTATAACTACTCGTCTGATGGGTCTGTTCCGATGGACTGTAGTCAAGTGGAAGATGAAGAAGCTGAGCTTCATGCTGCGGAGCAGCAAAGTGTGCGCAGATGTTATATCCGCAAGAGCACAGACAATTTGATGGCAAAATGCCCTGCAAGAAAGGCATATTTGGCCTCGAAGGGCCGACGCCGCATGGGTAAACCTTCTGGTTTGCCACGGAAAAATGGTGGAGCCCAGTAGGCGCGAGGCGCCCTACTGGGGAAGAACTGAGTTCTGTTGAACCTCTAGCAGGTAGAAGTAAACAGGGACCAGCCCCAAAGAGATCCTAACTCTCAAAAAACGGAACGAGAATGCAATCCAGGCTTGATAGTCGTCGAAGGAACGATTAAGAACGTTATGAACCATGGATTGATTGGAGGTCGACGGCCTCAGGCGTAACGCGCAACGCTCCTGGTGGGGCTCTGGGAGTCATGAACCCACCTCTGCTAGGAAGCAAAAGTGCTTTTGGCGCGGATATTGGACCGAGTTGGTCAATATGTTGGATGTCAAAATATCCGACTTGTAGACACTGCAAGTGTTGAGGGCAATAGTCCTGGGCGAGGAGGCCCAAGGACTATTGTCTGCCGATAGTGTGGTTGAGATCCCACTAGATGGCACATATGACATGTGTCATGAGAATGATGTTACATCATTAAACACCGTGAGCGGTGTTGGTGGCCGCAAGCCAAGATGTCAGGACATGAGTTTAAGTGACATGAGTGACGAGGAACTGAACCTGGAGGGCCGGAGGGCCCAAATGGATATTGTCTTT